ATCATGGTGGGGAGGGGGGAGGGGAGTGGTGGAGCTTTTTACCCATTTGATTTTAAAACCACAGAAACAGAACCTTTTCAAACACTTATGTTATGCATTTGTTCTGCTTTTTTCTTTGATCAATGGTGTGTATTGAGTGAAATGAACTTGTCAAGTATTGCCTCCTGTCTGATTTCTTCCCTAGTCCATTGTATCAGGCCATTATGGAGAATCCTTTAGTCCAGCTTAGTCTTAATAATGCTCGAATTCTAGGAGGTACGTATATACGTCAAAAACTTGGGCATTCAATTATGTTCCATTTTGCCTTGTGTCAGTTCTGTTTTAGTAACAAAGAGGTCAAAATGTGACCATAAACAAGAACACGAGACGAGCTGCATGTAGTTGTATCGCTGATATTCTTAAACTACATTTTGGAAGTCGTTAGGGACCTTTAACTGAACAGACCCACATCAAAATAGATCTATTTGTTTAATACTTACAATTAACAAGAAGGAAAACTGAGGGAAATAATCACCAATTTCCTGGTTACGCTCGACTATTCGAGTTGTATATTTCTACTTCTGTAATTTGCTTGCTTGGGTAAGGTGTTACGGATTCCGTTTCTTTTTTTCTTGCTTGCTAACCGCTCTTGAAAAGTTTGTCGATGCCATAGTTAATCTTAGTAAGATGTCCCAGACATAAACTTTCTGAAAACTGCATGCCATGATGGTCAAAGTTTAAATAAAATTTTGAATGACGACATCAGTTCGTCTTTACTTTTATAGTGTATGGGCTTCGACCAATCATGGTGCACATAATATAAACTTCATGGTATAATTGAAAAAATAACAACAATTTTACACATTTATTCTTGCGTTTTAACGAAGTGCTGTTTTATGATCACGCTTTATAACTCAATTCTCAGTCATTCTTTAAATTCTTGTTTTCTTTTTTTTCAGCATTTGAAGACATGCTTGAAAATCCGTCGACAAGTTCATTCTACATTAACGACCCAGAAACTGGGCCAGTCTTACTGCAAGTCTCACGGATTGTGCAGGGATTTGCTAGATGATACTGAACCATATTACTAAAACTGTAAATATTTCATGTATAACAGTAGTGCAGTCTCATAACTCTTCTGAAAAGAGCGCTTATTTGCTGATCATGTTAATATGGGCTTAGGAATGAAGAAACCACGATTGTGAGTTTCACGGGGGCTGCTCGACGATGAAAGTGGAGCAACTACTCAAGTTACAAAGTTTTTGTATCTGTTTTCAATTGGTTTTTTTTATGTTAAGTGTAAGGTAGCTAATTTTTGGCGCACAGTGCCCGGAAACTGTGGAGAATTCCAAATCACGGGCGACAAAATTGTGTACAACAGGCAGTTACTGTGAATAGGTTTCGCTGGTATAAGGTCCTATAGTAACTGTAATACAACATTAAATTTTCTACCACATAGGTTTTAGTACTTTGCTGATATTTTTTATTAAGTGTTGAGTTCTTGAGATGTTCCAGAATCCATTTGATTTATATCGCCTTCATCACGAAGTACATCTTACAGTAATGACAGTGACCGCGTTTTGAGATTCTAGGGATCAGCATTACCTTTGACTGCTCGCGCCCGCCGCTATTCTCAAGCCAGCTGAGCAACCTGGCTACTATCAGATCTAAGTTGAAAAACTAGTTTGTAACATTTCTTTCTGTGATATTCTTGCCGTTTGAACTTCAAAATTGTCAATATCTCGATCTTTCTTACTATGTTACTGGAAACTTTGAGAAACGTGCCCCAGGTGGCTGAATTTTTGGAGTACATATATTCATTTCAATTTTTTTCATTATAGCGTGGAATTTTCAGAGCATTTATCGTCAATATTCGAAGGGCTAGGTTACCTTGTTGAATCTCAAAACGTGGTGAGCTGTAATCAGTTTTAATTTGTACTTGTCAATGGCAGTGATTAAAGAAGGAAAGGAATTTAAGATGTTATTTGATTTTTGGAGCACGTTTCTACTTTGAAAGGAAACTGATATTTTTTTGGCGACAGGAATTTCTAGAGAACGTTGCCATCAATTTTTTTTTTTTTAATTTTCCTTGGTATATAACTCACAATTGAATAGTGCTTTTCATGCGCGTTGATTGGCTTGTTCGGAGGTGAATAGCGAATACTATTCACCTCCGAACAGCCAATAAGACAAAATCGCGCGTCAAGGGTTAAATTTCTGACCATTTTTCGGTATATTGAGAGAAAGAAACTACGTTTTTTGTACCTGTGTGGTATGAACAAAAGCAATTATTCAACATCAGCGTCGGTGATAGTGGTGGATATTACCCCACTGCATCTCAGCTCGGTTAATATCTACCACTATTCACCTCCACTTTGGTGAACAATTTTTAATTATGTGCTCCTTTCTAAAAACCGATTTTGGGACATTGTATTGTCTATTAAAAGTTACTAAGAGTTGTAACAGAGAATGGTCTGGCTCCAATCCTCTGAGGCAAAAAAAGAGTGCTCTATGGCCTTTTTTGGTTTCCTTTTTTTTTTTGTTTTTTTGTTTTTTCAATATTTGCAAACCAAGGCAATTGATGTTGAATATTTTGTTCAATATACTATTTATATTTTATTTTGGTTGAGATGTTAGACCATTGGTATCTGATCATATAGGGTTTCACCCTAAAATCAACCTTTAGCAGGTGTAACTAGTTATAATTTTGGAATAATTTCAATTGAATATTTTTAGTATTTTTTTAGGGAAATTTTCAAAAGAACAAGATCTCCATGCTATGGATACTGTAGTGCTTAAGTGCGGAAAATAAGCGATAAAAAAAGGGCTCCTTGTACGTCACGATAGGCAAATCTATCGCCAAGCCTAGATAGATTGTTAGACAGGAAGTGAAGTAAACAAGATGGAATTGAATTGAGTTCTAAGCGTGTTTTATCTCTGAACCGAAACACCAGACAAGGTTTTTGTTTGTGGATATATAGGCGTGTTTTTTATCTCGTGCTCCTTCCTTCTTTTGCGCCTTCTGCCTCTGTTCGACGCTGATCTCCGCTGACCCTCAACGGTGTACAAAAGAAGTCACATGAGCGATCTTGAGAAATGAATTTATTGGATTCTCTCTGGCAGGCCTTGCCATAGTTGGTAATAAAACCGGGCCTCGATCCGATCCCCTTCCGTGGGTTTTTGGGGGGGCAATTTGTCACTTATCATCCACTGTGGGTAATATGATTTATCATAAAAATTGTTTGTTAATCAAAGGTGGACGGGGTTTTGAGGATCTAAACAGTCTGTTGCGATATCTCATTTTCATGCGGCTTTGATCGCCACTACTCATGAAAATCAACTTTTTA